TTCCCGCGTCATTATCTGGCAAATTTTTTTTTTCGAAAATTTTTCCCCAGTTTTAGTGAGTGTAGCTCAGCATCCACTGGACCAATCAAAAAGTGCGCCATACATTTTTTGTTCGAAACTTTTTCCCTATTTTATTGGTGGTATTCGGGAGCGATTATGTCGCGAATTGAATTTTTCGAAAATTTTTCCAAAATATTTTTGAGTGTAGCTCAGCATCCGCTGGACCAATCAAAAAGTGCGCCATACATTTTTTGTACGCTGCTTTTTGCTAAAGAATTTGGCGGTATTCCTGAGGGATTATCTCGCGAATTTAATTTTTCGAAAATTTTTTCGAATTTGTTTTCTAGTTTAGCTCAGCATCCGCTGGACCAATCAAAAAGTGCGCAATACATTTTTTGTTCAGAACTTTCTTCTAATCACTATGGCGGTATTCCCGAACGATTATCTCGCAAATTTAATTTTTCTAAATTTTTTCCGAATTTGTTTTCTAGTGTAGCTCAGCATCCGCTGGACCAATCAAAAAGTGCGCAATACATTTTTTGTTCGCTACTTTTTGCTAAAGAATTTGGCGGTATTCCCGAACGATTATGTCGCGAATTGAATTTTTCGAAAATTTTTCCAAAATATTTTTGAGTGTAGCTCAGCATCCGCTGGACCAATCAAAAAGTGCGCCATACATTTTTGGTACGCTACTTTTTGCTAAAGAATTTGGCGGTATTCCCGAACGATTATGTCGCGAATTTAATTTTTCGAAAATTTTTCCAAAATATTTTTGAGTGTAGCTCAGCATCCGCTGGACCAATCAAAAAGTGCGCCATACATTTTTTGTTCGAAACTTTTTCCCTATTTTATTGGTGGTATTCGGGAGCGATTATGTCGCGAATTGAATTTTTCGAAAATTTTTCCAAAATATTTTTGAGTGTAGCTCAGCATCCGCTGGACCAATCAAAAAGTGCGCCATACATTTTTTGTACGCTGCTTTTTGCTAAAGAATTTGGCGGTATTCCTGAGGGATTATCTCGCGAATTTAATTTTTCGAAAATTTTTTCGAATTTGTTTTCTAGTTTAGCTCAGCATCCGCTGGACCAATCAAAAAGTGCGCAATACATTTTTTGTTCAGAACTTTCTTCTAATCACTATGGCGGTATTCCCGAACGATTATCTCGCAAATTTAATTTTTCTAAATTTTTTCCGAATTTGTTTTCTAGTGTAGCTCAGCATCCGCTGGACCAATCAAAAAGTGCGCAATACATTTTTTGTTCGCTACTTTTTGCTAAAGAATTTGGCGGTATTCCCGAACGATTATGTCGCGAATTGAATTTTTCGAAAATTTTTCCAAAATATTTTTGAGTGTAGCTCAGCATCCGCTGGACCAATCAAAAAGTGCGCCATACATTTTTTGTTCGAGACTTTTTGCTCAATTTTTTGGCATTATTCCCGAGTCATTATCTAGCAAATTTTTTTTTTCGAAAATTTTCCCCAGTTTTAGTGAGTGTAGCTCAGCATCCGCTGGACCAATCAAAAAGTGCGCCATACATTTTTTGTTCAGAACTTTCTTCTAATCACTATGGCGGTATTCCCGAAGGATTATCTCGCAAATTTAATTTTTCTAAATTTTTTCCGAATTTGTTTTCTAGTTTAGCTCAGCATCCGCTGAACCAATCAAAAAGTGCGCAATACATTTTTTGTTCGCTACTTTTTGCTAAAGAATTTGGCGGTATTCCCGAACGATTATGTCGCGAATTGAATTTTTCGAAAATTTTTCCAAAATATTTTTGAGTGTAGCTCAGCATCCGCTGGACCAATCAAAAAGTGCGCCATACATTTTTTGTTCAGAACTTTCTTCTAATCACTATGGCGGTATTCCCGAAGGATTATCTCGCAAATTTAATTTTTCTAAATTTTTTCCGAATTTGTTTTCTAGTTTAGCTCAGCATCCGCTGGACCAATCAAAAAGTGCGCAATACATTTTTTGTTCGCTACTTTTTGCTAAAGAATTTGTCGGTATTCCCGAACGATTATGTCGCGAATTGAATTTTTCGAAAATTTATCCAAAATATTTTTGAGTGTAGCTCAGCATCCGCTGCACCAATCAAAAAGTGCGCCATACATTTTTTGTTCGAGACTTTTTGCTCAATTTTTTGGCATTATTCCCGAGTCATTATCTGGCAAATTTTTTTTTTCGAAAATTTTTCCCCAGTTTTAGTGAGTGTAGCTCAGCATCCGCTGGACCAATCAAAAAGTGCGCCATACATTTTTTGTTCGAGACTTTTTGCTCAATTTTTTGGCATTATTCCCGCGTCATTATCTGGCAAATTTTTTTTTTCGAAAATTTTTCCCCAGTTTTAGTGAGTGTAGCTCAGCATCCGCTGCACCAATCAAAATTGCGCCATACATTTTTTGTTCGAAACTTTTTCCCTATTTTATTGGTGGTATTCGGGAGCGATTATGTCGCGAATTTAATTTTTCGAAAATTTTTCCAAAATATTTTTGAGTGTAGCTCAGCATCCGCTGGACCAATCAAAAAGTGCGCCATACATTTTTTGTTCGAGACTTTTTGCTCAATTTTTTGGCATTATTCCCGCGTCATTATCTGGCAAATTTTTTTTTTCGAAAATTTTTCCCCAGTTTTAGTGAGTGTAGCTCAGCATCCACTGGACCAATCAAAAAGTGCGCCATACATTTTTTGTTCGAAACTTTTTCCCTATTTTATTGGTGGTATTCGGGAGCGATTATGTCGCGAATTGAATTTTTCGAAAATTTTTCCAAAATATTTTTGAGTGTAGCTCAGCATCCGCTGGACCAATCAAAAAGTGCGCCATACATTTTTTGTACGCTGCTTTTTGCTAAAGAATTTGGCGGTATTCCTGAGGGATTATCTCGCGAATTTAATTTTTCGAAAATTTTTTCGAATTTGTTTTCTAGTTTAGCTCAGCATCCGCTGGACCAATCAAAAAGTGCGCAATACATTTTTTGTTCAGAACTTTCTTCTAATCACTATGGCGGTATTCCCGAACGATTATCTCGCAAATTTAATTTTTCTAAATTTTTTCCGAATTTGTTTTCTAGTGTAGCTCAGCATCCGCTGGACCAATCAAAAAGTGCGCAATACATTTTTTGTTCGCTACTTTTTGCTAAAGAATTTGGCGGTATTCCCGAACGATTATGTCGCGAATTGAATTTTTCGAAAATTTTTCCAAAATATTTTTGAGTGTAGCTCAGCATCCGCTGGACCAATCAAAAAGTGCGCCATACATTTTTGGTACGCTACTTTTTGCTAAAGAATTTGGCGGTATTCCCGAACGATTATGTCGCGAATTTAATTTTTCGAAAATTTTTCCAAAATATTTTTGAGTGTAGCTCAGCATCCGCTGGACCAATCAAAAAGTGCGCCATACATTTTTTGTTCAGAACTTTCTTCTAATCACTATGGCGGTATTCCCGAAGGATTATCTCACAAATTTAATTTTTCTAAATTTTTTCCGAATTTGTTTTCTAGTTTAGCTCAGCATCCGCTGGACCAATCAAAAAGTGCGCAATACATTTTTTGTTCGCTACTTTTTGCTAAAGAATTTGGCGGTATTCCCGAACGATTATGTCGCGGATTGAATTTTTCGAAAATTTAAACAAAATATTTTTGAGTGTAGCTCAGCATCCGCTGGACCAATCAAAAAGTGCGCCATACATTTTTTGTTCGAGACTTTTTGCTAAAGAATTTGGCGGTATTCCCGAACGATTATCTCGCGAATTTAATTTTTCGAAAATTTTTCTAAAATATTTTTGAGTGTAGCAATAAAACTTTGCTTTCTCCACGAGGAAGCAAATTTTTTTGCTGATCGTAAAGAGGAAGCAAAATGTTCATGTCATGAACATCTGAATTTACAACTTGTTTGTTAGTTTTTTATGCTTTTGGATGCGTTTTTGGTCATAAAAAGGGTCTTCCTCTACTCGGATCTTGGTGTCAATTTTTTTCTACACTTTTGGGTGTATTTTGTGCAAGAATATGCAAGAAAATCTTCTGCCTAAGAAAAATTGAATTTTTTTGGTTAGTTTTTTATGCTTTTGGATGGGTTTTTGGTCATAAAAAAGGTCTTCCTCTACTCGGATCTGGGTGTCAATTTTTTTCTACACTTTTGGGTGTATTTTGTGCAAGAATATGCAAGAAAATCTTCTGCCTAAGAAAAATTGAATTTTTTTGGTTAGTTTTTTATGCTTTTGGATGCGTTTTTGGTCATAAAAAGGGTCTTCCTCTACTCGGATCTGGGTGTCAATTTTTTTCTACACTTTTCGGTGTATTTTGTGCAAGAATATGCAATAAAATCGTCTGCCTAAGAAAAATTGAATTTTTTGCTTCCTCGTGGAGTAAGCTTTGTAGTCCTTTCGTTTATAAAACTTTTCAAAGTGGCGGACACAAATTTTTTTCTTTATAGAAACATGTTATATGAGATCCTGATCAATTGTCCGGATGTATGTATGTGTGTGTGTGTGTGTGTGGATCCCTTTTTTGTTTAGAAGATAACTTTAACAGGTTTTAATGGATTTAGATAAAATTTAGTAGGCTCATTTATCATATTAATATCTCAAATCTGACAAAAGTATTTTGAATAATACTCCAAAAAAAAAATTTTATTGTCTTTTTTCCAAAAATTTTTTTTTAATCGAAAAAATTTTTAAATAGAAAAATTTAAGGTTATATATAATAAAATCGTATTCTTTACGTCAAGACGAATCGATCGATATATATAAAGTATTCATTTGAGGTAAATTTAAAGAATTAATGAAAGTTAAAAAATCAAAAATTCCCATTTTGTCAATAAAATTTTGCTTTCTCCACGAGGAAGCAAATTTTTTTGCTGATCGTAAAGAGGAAGCAAAATGTTCATGTAATGAACATCTGAATTTACAACTTGTTTTGAATAGAATGTTTTCCTGGAAAATGAAAAAATTCCTTACAAATTCAAATAAAATTAATCTGCATGTCTCTATTATTTTTAATATAGTTTGCATGGAACTTGCATTGGACCAAATCTGCAATTATCAGCAATTACAATTGATACTGGAAATATTTTTGTATGTTTGTCACATTATTATGAGGTAATTAATTAAAAAAAGAAAAAATTCAATAAAAACTCTCGTCGTTATCTTATTTATTTTCCATACATAATAAATTTCCATTTCACAAATTTTCTAATATAATTTCATGAAATTGAATTAAGTTTTATTAATTTTGTTTATTAACTTATTATACAATAATTTATTGTTAAAAATAGTATTTATTAAAAAAACACTAAATCATTTAAGTTCGAATTTGTTTTAGCTTACATGTTCAAATAATGGTCTAATTCCTGGTGGTTTGATTTATAAATCAAAAAATACAGATTTCGGAGGAACTCTACAAGTTACTCCTTCTGAATTAAATTTAGAGCCGGAGGACATTAAATCTTTTATGATTACATTTACCTCGATTCACAAAGGACAATTTGTCGAGAGAATTGATTTTATGATAAAAGAAAGTCAGGAAATTATTTCAGTTTACATAAGGTAAAATAAATCTTATGAGGCAAAAAATTAGCATAACATTATTTTTCATTTTTATTACTTTTATTAATTTTATTATTTATCTATTTTTTTATTATTTTATGATTTTATCATTTGTTTTTATATTTTATTATATTATATTATATTGTATTGTATTGTATTGTAAAATTAAAATTTGTTTACAGAGGTTTTGTTGTCTGTCCACTTCTTCGATTTGACAGGGAATATTTAGATTTTGGAAAAACAGCCATTGGTTAATAAATTAATTAGCTAATAAATAAATAAATAAAAATTGTAATTATATAAAAAAATTGTCAAAAAAATGTATTTTTTGTTTTTATAGGATTTACATATGAACGAGATTTTTGTATATACAATGATTCACCAGTGGCTGTAAAATTCAAGTTGAATGTTCCCGATGACGGATGTGATCCACCTGTCACATATAAGGACTTTACGGAAACACAAATAAAACCCACTTTTCCCTCTTATCCACGTGAAATTATGATCACTTCAGTTGATGGTGTTATTTGCCCTCAAACATCTTTAACAGTCAAAGTACATACAGAAAAATCTTTGTTTCTATATAAAATCGATTATAAAACAAATTATACAATCTAATGATTATTTTTATTATATATTTTGATAGTAGTTTAGCGAAACATATAAATTTTATGAGAATATAAAATTTTTTTTTTCTCTTCAAAATACAGATTTTTTATACTCCGAATATTGTACGTTCGGGAAAAACATTTCTTCGTCTCGAAATGTGGGATTCAGAAACAGAGACAATTTATTTACCAATTGTATTTTCAGTGGAAATCGCTGAATTCGTAGTAACGCCTAACGAAATAGTAATTGATATTTGCTTCATTAATTTTTCGTACACGAAAACAATATCGATTCAAAATAAATCTGAAGTTGAGGGATATTTCTACTTTTCTCCTCAATTCGTAAGAATTATTGATATTATTCAAATCCCTTTAAATGTAAATTATTTAATACTGTTCCACACTAGAATTACAAGAATTTAATGTTTTGTCTGACTGAAATTAATTTATTCTACTAGATATTAAAGTTCAAAAATTTGTGTCTGACTGCAATGGACATTTACTACTAATATATCAAATTTTTATGAATTTTGGAAAGTCTGACTATACCACAGGTATACTACTGATACTGACCAAACTTGTCTTTTACTACTAATTACAAAACATTTCATAATTTAAAGCATTTTTATTTGATTGAAAGTATCGTTTACGAATTAAATTTTGATAGTCTGACTAACATTGTCTGTTTCTACTTCGGTGAAAAAATATGAGAAATTAAAACGTTGTCTGACTACAACTAGCTTTTACTACTAATACCAACAAAAATTAAAAAATTTTTAAAAGTGACTAAATAATAAAAATATAAATTTTTTTTCCAAACTGTATTAACAATATTGTATTTGTAGACTTCATCGATTAGGAATATAGAATACTCCATGTCACCAAATGAAGGTTGTTTGAAACCACATCAATCAATGAAAATTACAATAAACATTGTCAACAAGTCTTTAGGCAAACAAGAAACCCTAATATTGTAATGTTTCTAGAATAAGAAAATTTATTCTATTATATTTGTTTTTCACGAACTATTTATTGACCTAAAAAGAAAAAAATATATATAAATATATATATATTTTTTTTTGTTGAAAAAATTATTTTCTTTTCAGAATGCAAATATTGGGTGAAAATAATTTAACGACATGTTGCAATCTTGTATGCGATGGACAAGGTCCTGTGATTTTTGTCAAGCCAATGCAATTAGATTGGAAAAATATAAATCTTCTTCATTGCAATACTTTGCAATTTTCAATGTTTAATGACTCTCCAATTTCAGCAGAATTTATCATCTCTTTGGTATTGAATTTTTCTTTAATTAATTAATTAATCAATTAATTATTTATCTAACTGTAGGTTTAGAGAAAATTAAATTTGTTTCATTTTATGTTGGAAAAATTATTGTAGGTACTTGATCATTTTTTTTTATTTGTTAAAAAGAGAAAAAAAAATGTTGCGTTAAGTTCAATTTCTTTTACGTATACAAGTTGTTCTCTTTAATTTTCAAACCACAAGAATAAAAAGAATTCACCGTGGTCTGTGCAACCAATCTCTGGAGAACTGAATTCCAATCAATCAATAAAACTCGATGTGACGGCATTTTTACGCGATGCTGGAAAATTCTCTGATCGTCTTTTGATTAAAGTTACAAACGGCAAGACAATTCCCATTAATTTAAATGCAACTGGAATTGGAACTTCTATTGTGACAAATCCCAATATTTTTCCTATATTTGAGATGGGCCTACTATTCAGGTTCAAATTCGATTATTATTGTTTTTTTTTATTTTTATATTTTATTTTATTTATTTTTAAAAATATTTTTTAAAAGAAAATTTGAATTTGAATTTTTAATTTTATTAAATTTTATTAATTTTCTTTAATTTAAACAAATTAACAAAATTTTTTGTTTTTAATTTAAATTTCATTAATTTTTAAATTTTAATTTCGAATTACCTTATTGAAATGTGTTTTTGAATTTTATTTTCTTATTCCTATTCAAATGTTTAATGCAAGAATGAAGTTAAAAATTAAATAAAAGAGAGCAGTTACACTTTAATTTTCTAAAATTGTAGATTTCTACTATATTTCTTCTCCCCTGGTGCAACAGGGACTTTCGCCAGATTGCGCCACTTCTCGGAGAATAGAATAATAAATAAAATATATAATTTCAAGAAAAATCATTACTTAATTGAACAAAATTAAATTTGAATTTAAAAACAAAATTTTTATTCAAGTTTTCTTATTAAGTTTTTTAAACAACATTTCAAAAAAATATTTAAGCAAATTTAAAAAATTTGCGACATACAAATTAGAAGTATTGGATTTCAATAAAATTAATTAATTCATTATTTATTAATAAATTGAATAATATTAAGTTTTAATAGTCAACAAGATATAGTATTGCCGATAGTTTTAAAAAATGAAGGCACTCGACATCATCAACTGTTATTTGCGAATAAAACAAATATTCGATCGTTACTGAAAGGTCCTAATACGCAAATACAAGAATTGTACGTCTTTTAATAAATTATCGTAACATTTATTTTATATTTTCACCATCATTTGTTGTTTCTTTCTTTATTTTTTTTTAATTTCTTAATTTCAAATTTTTTATTATAAATTTTTTTTATTTTTCAGGGATAAATTTCAAATTGAACCACATATGATTGAATTATCACCTGGTGCCAGTATCACCGTTTTTTGTAAAATTCATTGGAAAAAGTAATTAAAAATTATTATTCTCTAAATTGCCAAAAAAAAATTTTTCATCAATTAATTAATTAATTAATTTTTTTTTTATTTATTTCAAAGAAATGAAATAGTGACGGAAGAATGGTACCTACATGGTGTCATTCAAGGAGAAGGAAAAAGAAAATTATTAGCCACAAGTTTATTTAAAGCAACATTTGTTGAAGCAAATATTTCATTCAGCAAAATGGAACTTGTATTTCGAATCGATGTCGATACAAATGGCGAAAAACTGCAACAAATAGGTTATTTAATAATAATTTATTAATTAATTTTCTAAATAGTTTATCAATAATTAATAACAATTTTTTTAAAAAAATTTCAGAGTTTATTAATAATTTTTTAATAATGTATAAATAATTTATTAATGATTGTTTAATTTTCTTTTTTTTTTGAAATCTCTAATAATTAAATTACAAAATTTAACTAGATGAACTTTACGTAATTAACGACTCTGGATTAAACTTAAATACAAATGTCACTGTAAATCCTCCATTTTATTTAATTACTGATGAAATTGATAATGGATCGTCGAAGAAATTAACAAATAAATTGAAAATTGTGCTCGCAAAATATTCACAAACTCCAATTCGAATTTATTTTGAATTCAATCGCAATGAAGATCGAAATTCACGAATATTTAAAGAAATTTTGCTATTTGAATATGATGAAAATCTTACCAAGGTTTCTATTTATATAAAAAGAAAATTGAATGAAAATTAATTTTTGTAAAATTTAAACAATCTCGGCAGAGACACACATTTTTTTTTCTCGAAACAAAAAAAGGAACTAAACCTATTATTTTACAGAATAAAATCAAGTGCCATGCGGAAGTGAATTTTCCGACAATTATCCCAATACCAAGAGAGCTTTACTTTAGCTGTGAGCTAGGATTGAGTGTTAGTCGTAAAATAGTTCTTTTAAACGAAATGCCAATATCTGTGTTTTACAGATTCGAGTGGCTTGAGAAAAGCATTTCCATTGATCGTATTGCACACGAATATCTGGTAAAATTAATAGTAGAATTGATTTTTTAATATAAAATTTAGAACTCGAATTTTATTTTTAAATCCACTTTTAGTGAATTTTAATAATTTTATAGAATCTCCGTTCATTTTTAGATTTCATCACCGATATCTTCTAATGAAGAGGCGAAAATATATGAAAATAATCATAGAATATATACTTCTAAATGTAAGATTATAATTTTGTTATTTTGTAAAAAAAATGTTAAGAAAAATCTAAAAAAAGTATAAAAAATTCTAAAAATAAATCAAATTAATTAGTTAATTACTTTTATAATTAAAAGCATCTTTATTGGATAATTTGGAGGATAACATTGAAACTTCTGAATCAAAAGATTTAATTGGTGAAAATAGTATTTCAAGGGACGAAATCGAAGAATTCTGTTCTTCAATGATGGATCAAATTTTTGTGAAAGATGATAATATTTCAATTCTCAACTGTCTTTGCGATAAGCCAAGTGAAGTTAATTTAATTAATCAAGTTAGTTTATTATTTTCTTTGCTGTTTACAAAAGTATTTGCCATTTTTTATAATTGATTAGAAATTAATCAATTAAGTTAGATAATTTAATTTAATATATTATCATTTAAATTATTTAATTTATATCATTCATTTCTGCGCATGGCTCACATGAACTCAATATTACTGCGCATGCCCAAAATTTGAATTAACACTTCTGCGCATGCGTAAGTCGTAAATTTTTAATTAGCATATTGAAATATCACCGAACGAAGGAATTTTACTTCCCAATTCGTCTCAATCGATAAATTTACTATTCCATGGAACTGAATCAATTGAAATTGAGGCAAATTTAATTTGTTTAATAAAACATGGTAATCCTGAAGTGATAAAAATTAAGGCTGTTGCTGATAAACTTCGATTTTCTATATCGACAAATTGTATTGATGTTGGTCAACAAGTATGTTTTCCAACCTAAAGTAAAGAAAAAAAGAAATTTGTTAATTGATATAATGAAATTATTAATAAATTTCAGCTTTTTTGCGAGGCTAGTGAAAATTCATTTCACTTGATAAATAATTGTATGATTCCATTTGAGTTCAAAATTAGAAAATCGGATAATAATAATTCTACAGAAGCACTAAAAATTAAACCAGAATTTGGAAACGTTGAACCAATGTCAAATTTTCAAGTTCAATTAATTTATCAACCAAACACTGTTGGTGTTTTTAAAGAGGAAATTCAAATTTTTGTACGATTTGTTAATTTATTTAATAATTCAAATTTTTTAAATCGCTTGAATTTTAATTAAAATTATTAAAATTAGAATTTAAATTTCATTTCATTTTTAGATAGAAGAACATTGTCCACCAATTTCAGTGATTTTTAAAGGTGTGGCTGTAATTCCTCAAGTTTATCTTGATATTCCTAGAGTTGATGTATTCAAAAAATATCCCATAACATTCGGATACAATGCAATAAAATTAATGGATAGTAATTATTTAATAATGGTAATTAATTTCTATCTGATTCTTTAATTGTTCAACAAACGATTACTTAATTATTTTTATAATTAGAATTTCTTTATTTTGTCCATTTTTAAAAAAATATTTCCTAGAACGATCATAAAAAAAATTCATCTGAAGATAAAATCTATGAAGATACATTGAATACAACAGTACTTTATAAAAGCCTCATAGGTACTAATTTTGATAATCCATAATTAAATATATAATTTATAAAATTACTATTTGAAAAAAAAATTATTTAAAATTAAAATTTTAAAAATTTAAATAAAAATTTTAAGATGACGAAGGGGAAATTATTTTCATGGAAGAATCAATGCCCGTTGCTTGTGATTTTGATATGGCTTTTGAGAGATATTTAGCTATAAATTTTGTTGAAAAAAATTCTTACATTATTGCAAAACATAGAGGTGAACAAAAAAAAGCAGCGATACCTAATCTTTTAGCGCCAGCATACATTTTTGGTGGGTTAATTTGTTATTTTAAATATTGCAAACAATTGTAATTTTTAAATGAATGAGACATTTTTTATTTTTCATAAGATATGGGATACATTATCGTACAAAATATTACCCGTCATTTGATTACGTTGATTAATTATGGACCAGAAAAAGCAGAAGTTAAACTTAGACTCGAAAATAAAAGTAATTTAACTAAGGCAGGAATTTTTATAGAATTTAACAATAGTAAAAATTTACTTGTTGGAAAATCCATTGAAATGCATTTCATCTGCCAACCAAAACAAGAAAGATATAAAAAAAGATGCACAAATATCGAGCATCAAATTTATATAGAAGTGATAATTAACTAATAACAATTCATTTTTTTTTAAATAGCTATTTTATTGCATTAATTAACAAATTTAAATTTCAGGTTACACATGGATTTACAATTCCTATCATAATTAAAGCTATCATCACATATCCATATTTAACAGTTGATACAAAAAATTTAGATTTCTCAAATGTTATCATTGGAGAGTGTCATCAAAAGCAACTATTAATTAAAAATGAGTAATTATTTGTTTTAAGCATGTTTTGAATTTATAAAATTTTTTATTTAATAAATTTTAAAAAATTTACAAAATTCTGTACGAAATCCGTAATTTTTTTTTTTATAAGTGGATTTGTAGAATGTCAATGGACGGTCAGTCTTATCTCCAATTGCAAGAAACGAGACGATGGACCATTTTATATTCACTATACAAACGATATACTTTCTCCTGGACATTTTGAAGTTATTGACATTTTTTTCAAACCAAAAAAATCGGTATCTAACGCAAAATATTTATTAATTATTAATTCTGACATCAATATATATTTTATAAAAAAATTATTCAGTGCAATGTTGAAGAAAAATTGCTGATAAAAGTTCACCAAAGTCAAGAAACAATTGTAATAGATCTTAATGGAAAAGGTATTGAGCGCAAATTAAAAATCACTAAATCGAATATTAAATTTAAGCCACTTGTTCCAAATACTGTGGCTGATGAAGCAACAATTGTTATTGAAAATCCTGGACCTAATCCTGTGGAATTTTATTGGCATCATTTAGAAAAGTATATAAACTTAATTTTGAAAAAATATATTAATTTATTTATTTTTATTTAAAAAAATTTAATTTATTTTTTAGTCCATATTTACATGAAGATCAAATAGGAAGAGTATTAACTCACTATTTTGGAGTAGAGGAAATTTTATTACCTCAAAGAAAAATTGTCGAGGAAATTCCCAAACAATTGTTACATTTCTATACAAGTTTAGTAAAAGCAATGGCATTAGATTTGGGTAAACAATATCGAGAAGTCAACGAGGAATTACCAATTATTTCAACGCTCAATGAAAAGACTATTATTTCTACACAAGGTAGAAAATAAATAAATAAAAAAAATGTATATTAAAATATTTTTAAAAAAACTGCGTTTTAAATATTCAATTTTGCTTAATTTAAATTTAATAATTTAATATTAATAATAAATAATTTTGTCAATTTTCAACAATATTTAATTATTTAAAGTATAATTATTTTAATAAATAAAATAGAATTATCAGATTCTTTAATTATTTTCGCAAAATAATAGAAATTTCATGATTTATGTAAAATTATTTTTGTATGTTTAAAAGTAAATGACATTTAATTAACGATGAAAATTACAGAGAAAGTGAGCGCGGAAACTGTCGTGTCTCAAGGAACAAAGAAAAGAAAAAAAAGCAAACGTAGGAAATTAGCGAAAGAAGGAAAATCACAACCCAAATCACTTGCAAGTGAATTTTCTAAAATGGAAAAATTACCTGCATTTAGTGACAAGGAATTATTAACAAACGATCAAAGAGAAATTGAAAACTTGTTACATGGTACATTTTTTGTACATTCAATTTCTATTAAAAATATTAAAATAATTTACTTATATAAAAAAAATTTTTTATACAATTTTTCAGATTACATTGACAAATTGCAAAAGAGTCCACATTTCTTCGAACAAATGGAAGATCGTATAAAAGAGGTTTTTCATTGTTTCAAGCAAAAATCATCTATTATTGATCCTTTACTAAACAATTCAAAATGGAAGAAATTTTTTATCATTTTTCGTGGAGAACTTTTTTCAGAAACAGTCATTACTTCAACACAACTAGATCTTCAATCAAAAACTTATTCAGTTCTATTACCAAAAAAATTATCACCAATTAAGGAAAATCCAACTAAATTGATAAAATCGACAATTTCCTTAAAATCAACGACTATCGAATCAAATAATCCAATTTCACCAGTTTCTATTATTGAAGAATCCTTGAGGCCAACTACAATTTTACAACCCTTTGAATCGCAAAGCTATAAAGTGAAATTTTTCCCTGATAAAATTGGACAATATAGGGAGAAATTTTCATTAACAATTGCCAATAGTTTTAATAAAACTTATATTATTAATGTCGAGGGAGTATCGGATATTCCAAGAATTAATATTGATCCGTCAATTATTTTCAGTAAGGTAAATTAATTACTGTCATAATAAAATAATTATTACTTATTTATTAAGATATCATTTTCCATTGTTTATATTTTTAATTAATGAACTAAATAATTAATAAACTTTTGCAGGTTGAAAAAACCAAAGCTGATGATACTAATGATCCAATTTATTTTCTTGACACTAATATATTCGATTTCGGTTCTTTGCTAATTAACAATGGTATAGATATGAGGTAATTGATTATAATTATTTATTTTTATTTATTATATAATAAAGTTTATTAAATTTTGAATTACAATATTAAAAAAACAATTGTTTTTGAAAATTGTTTTAATTTTTTTTAAAATGATAAAGATGATGATGATGATTTGATTATTTTAGCAAATCACATCGACGCACCGCTTTGTTAAAGTTTATCAACATTTCTCTAATACCCGCCCAAGTCACGTTTTCCTTGAAAGGAGATAACTCGAGTGCATTTAGTATTCCGTCCAACGAGCTTATTTATGTCAAGGTATTTTTTTCATCTAATTTATGGAATTGCAGAATTTTTTTTCGTTTTTAAATTTATCTAAATTTCTAGCCAGAGGAAACAGGAACTATAGAATTGTCAGCTGTGGCCACTAAACTTGGTAGTCATTCAGCACAATTAATTGTAGCTATTGTTGAAAATGAAGAAATGTTTACTATAGAGGTGATTTTCTTATCTTATTTGTCATCAATTTTATTTATTTTTTAAAAATTATATATATTAAATTTTAGCTTCGTTGTAATGGGACAAAAATGGATGTTACGGTGGAAGAAAAAATTGTAAATTTTAATAAAATTTTACTAAAGGGAGAGGAAAAGCGTAAATTGAAAATTTTCAATAAATCTCCTATACCTGGTTATTGGTGTTTGAAAACGATTGAAAATTTCGATTCTCAAATTTCCTTTTCACCACGAAACGGATGGATCCAACCAAAAGAGACAATGATCATCGATTTTATATTAAAAGCTTCAAAAGTATTATATTATAAAAAAATATTTAATTCATTTTATATACATTTATACGTATAGCAATCGTTGCCATAGTAACTGTTACTATAGTAATCGTTGCCATGGAAAATGACGTCTATATTTTCCAGGTGGGTAAACTAGGAAAAAATGAAATAAATTTTGAGGTATTCTTGAGTTCAGAAAATGAAGAAACACTATTTAGAGATATTATCACAATTACTGCTGAAGTTTATGATATTTCTATTGATTTGATTAATGCCAATCCGATTGATTTGAAAAATGTTAAAGTTAATTATGTGGCGAATGAGAAATTTACTATTAAAAATTTGGGACTATATGCAATTAAATATTCGTAAGGAAATTTTTTTTGTTTGTTTGTTTGTATTTATTAATTAATAATTGATATATTAATATTTCTCTCAATTATTTTGTAGAATTGAAAAAGAATCAGATTCAAATTTAATCAAAATTGATAATAATTTGATAAAAGATAAATCTGGTACCTTTGAAATTCATCCAACTTCGGATACAATATTACCAGATAAAATGGCGGTAATTAATGTAAGTTAATTAATTAATTAATCATTTATTACGATTTAATTATTAATTAATTATCAATACTTTTTTAAATTGCAATATATATATATATATATGCAATTTTTGCAGGTTTCCTTTAAACCAATTAGAGAAATAATTCTCAAAAAAGCTCCAATTTTGAAATGTAAATTTTTCGATGCATTCAATAAAAACGAAATAATTGCTGAATTTCAATTAACAGTGTCACTTATTTCATATTACACTAGGTATTCAATTAAAATCATTTTTCTTTTTTTTTATAAAATTTTAATAATTCAAAATATTCTTTTAATTTGCTATAGATTTTGCGTTGATCCATTCCCAGAATTAAATTTTGGACCAATTGCAATATTTTCAGAAAAAATAATGTATCTAAATGTAAAAAATATTGGCAATTTTCCTCTACATTTTATAATTTCCTCGTTTGTGGAAAAATTAACATCAGCATCGTCAAGAGGAAAGAAAAAATCGCCAAAAGTCGAAAAATTAAAACCGTACAAAATTATGAAAAACTAAGAAAAATTAATTTTAATAATAACTAAAAATTTATTACTCATAAATTAAATGTCCATTTAGATTGAATGAATCATCATTAAAAACAGGATGTTTTCTTGTAACAAAAGTAGAAGGCTTTATCGATGCTGGTCAAATTGAAAGTATTAAAATAATTTGTTCCCCTGAAATTGAAGGCAAACAAATTGAAGAAATAAATATATTTGTTGATGATTGTTCACCTGATGACAAAAATGGAAAAAAATTAAAACTAATAACAAATTGCTGTATGCCTAAAATTGATTTTAATGATTTAAATGGAATATTTCAAGAAAATAATATTGTGGATAATTTTCATGACTTTAATTGTCCCAATGAGGTTATTTTACATACCAAAAAAAAAAAAAAAATGATAAAAATGTTGTTTTTGAAATTAATTATTTAATCATTTTTGAACTTTGAAATTTTTTTTTGTTTTCCTTTTTATGTCCCTCTAGCTCGGAGCACATACAGTTTTTGCACGTCATGAAAAATGTCTTTATTTCTGTCGTATTCCTGTTTCCAGCACTCACACGACATGTTTTAAATTGTGCAATCGTAGCGAAGTTCAAGCGGAAGTGACAATAACTTTGCGTCGTCCTGAAATGCTGACATCACAGCCGACAAATATCGACGTCTTTAAAGTCAATCCAAAGAAAACTTATGTCCCACCAATGAGTTATAGTATTTTTACTTTATCATTTTCATCAAAAATAATTGAGGTATTTGAAAAAAAAATGTTTAATAGAATGGAAAAAATAAACTTTCCATAAAAAAAAATTGTAATTGATTTTTAATTAGCAACTTCAATAACGCTCTAGTGAAAAGTTTCAGTAAATTTTAATAAAATTTCATTTTGAATTTTGGAAAACTAAGTTGAAATTTAGTTATTTAGTTAATTAAATTTTTTTTAATGTCCTTGAATGGAAGAAAAATGTAAATCGTTAAGAATTAAAGGAAATATTATCGAATATTAATAAAAATAAACAGTAAATTAATAATGATGATTTTTGTTGAAAGACATGAATTAATTTTGTAATTTATAGACATATTCGGCAGTATTGGAAGCGGAAATTGAGTTGCCATCGCATCTAAAAACCGATCGACTTTCAGTGAGACTTTTGGGGGAAGTTTGCGTACCGGAAATAATTCTCGTTGAGCCTACGGCAAGGACGATGCAAGATCACATTATCCTGAGCTTTAATCGTATATTGATGGGTGAAACTGGCATCAGAAAATTAACTCTCCAAAATATTGGCTTTCTCGATGCAAAAGTCATTCTTGAAATTTACAACGATCCACAATTTTTATTTACACTCGTCTCATTTATTAATAATAAATTTAATAATAATGGAAATAAAAATATTGATACATTTGATGCTGATGATAATGATGAAGGTAAAAAATATTAATAGCCGAATACAAATAAACTATGGTGTCAATTTTTCTTTCATTAAGAAAAGTAATTAAAAAAAATTAGATAAATGCTACGTAATAGAAATATAAAATAAATTAAAAATATAATTTACAGAATCACAGAATCGTTACAAAGTTTGTAATTTAGTACCAAATGAAATTGCCAATTTTTGGGTGAAATTTCGACCCGAACGAGTCGGTAAATACAATTCTCTTTTAAGAATTGTAGTCGATGGAAATCCATTTGAGAATATAAAAGTGAATCTCGAGGGGGATAGTTACAATGAAGAGATTGTTTTAGATCGTTTAGAATTCATAGATAAAAATACAATTGAACAAAAAAATTCCACTGAAACGACACATCGAAAAAAACGAAAAAATAATCTTAAATCAATGAATTCACAATCAACACGTAATTATGAATTTTTTTTCTTTTACCAAATAAAATACACATATGAATAAATAAATAAGATAAAATTAATTAATAAAATTAAAAATAATTTCAATTTCTTGTACTTTTATTATCTATAATAAATTTTCCAGAATCTCTAAAATCTTCCTCGGCTAGAGTTTCCATGTCTCGTGAAAAATTAATTTACAAATTGGATTTTGGATCGTGCTTTTTGAATCAAATGAATAAAATTAATTTTTCAATATCAAATAAAACTGAGGATAAATTCTTTCGATTTCAATGGGCACAGCATCAAAATTTAATTTTAACACCCTCATTGGGACACTTGGGACCTTGTAAATCAAAGGAAATTGTTGCCACATTTCTCACTGAGCAAAATGTCACTTATTCTGAGGTTTGTTTAAATATTTATTCATTGATTAGTTAATTTATTAATTAATACTATTTACTTTTGTAATTAAATTTTTTTTATTGGTAAACTATTTTAAAGGTGTCTGTAGACTGTGCTATTGAAGAAATAATAATTTCACAATTAGACAAACAATTTTCCTGGGATGATAGACAAATTAATGCTAAATGGAATTTAATGGGAAATGATCATTCAAATTCAGAGTCATTTGAAAATGTTATTTTTAAACAAATATTCGAACCAATGGCTGAGCCATTTTGTGAAATTATACCTGGTTCATTTAAATGCATACAACTTTTGTTTTCCGCAATTGCAATGTATTCGGAATACAAGTGCGAAATTAAAGATATCAATTTTAAAGACACTCTGATGTTCCAAGTAATTTAAAACGCTTTCATTATAAAAATAATTTTAGCAGAAAAAATTATCGTATCTATATATTTATGAATAGAAAATTTAATTAAATTATATTTTCCATTAAAAAATTTAAATTTTTTAAAATTTTCAAGAGTACAAATATCAAGTTTTTATTGATGAATCCTACGAGTGTCAATTTAGAGTATAATTGGAAATTGACGATGGATGAGCAATATCCTATTAGATTGGATGAAACGGCATTACGATCAATTTTTAAACAAAGAAACAAACATAACATACGATCTCGACCCAGTACAGAATCATCAAACGGAATTCTTTATTCCGATGAACAAAATGAGATAAAAGCTAAACGCAATATTTCCTATATCGCTGATGATAAAGGTTTTATATGAAAATTAAATTTTTCACTTATTTTTATCTTGTTATTAAAAAGAAACAGTTTAAAAAAATTATCAATTTATTTCAATTTTTATTTTTATTTTAATAACTAAAAAATCAACCCCAATTTGACATATAATAATTATAATTATAATAAATAAAAAATTCTGGTCTTTATAGGTCAATTTTTTAATGTAACATTAAAAAATAAAATTTTGTGCTAATTTAGGAAAATTGGTTAATCTACAATGGGATCAAGAATTGGGTCAATGTTCGGATTTATTTAGCAGTACAGCGTGTTTGACAGATCGAAGTACCGACAGTTGGATTGAGGGTGACAGTTGGCCGTTTGAAATACAACCAGAAAATGGGATTATCCTACCGGGACAATCTGTTGAATGCAACCTCACATTTTCACCCTCGGATGTTTTTGAATACAAAGCCACACTCAGTTGCTTGTACTTATTTTATCATTTATTCATTTAGAATTATTATAATAATAATTAAATAAATGGAAATGGAATAGATAGATATAAATATAAAATTCGGTATTAAAAAATAAATTTCGTATTTTAGAATAGAGAATCATAATCCGGATCAAATTCCTTTACGGATTCCAATAAAAGCAAGGAGCTTGCTACCTTATTGTCATTTTGAAATACCCGAAACTGATTATTTATCGAGTGGCAAACGAAATTCAAAATTGAAAGGACCCCTTGCTTTTGATATTGAGGATAAAAGGGTTCTTGAAAATATACGAGTGATTGAGTTTCAAATAACTGGCATCGGTCACAATCACACAAGGTATTTAGTGAACAATTTCATTTTTGATATATTTAAATAAAATATGAATGTTTCGATTATGCTTTTTTTGCAGGAATTTTAATTTAATAAATCCAACTCTCGATGATTATGATTATTATTGGACTGACTGCACTGATTATCACTTGAAGGAAGTTTCAAATTTTCATTGTGTCACACCCAAGGGAAGCATTCGACAGGGAAAATGTACTAAAATATCATTTAAATTTCACGCTGAGAATGTGGGAAGTTTCGAATCATTTTGGTCATTTAAAATAGATAAATATAATTTAGAAACTCTTTTTCTTATCGTTGTTCATGTCGTTGAGCCGAAAGTTTATTGTTTCTCATCTCATTTGCAAATGAAGCCAACAGTTTTAGGTAAAACAAAAAATAATTTTGAAAATATTAAAACATAAATCGTATATAACTCATGATTAATTATAATTATACCTATAATTATTAATTATTAATAAATTGTTCTTGTGTAATTAATAATTAATTTTCACCAGGAGCGAAAAGTAATGATGAAATCAAACTCATAAATAAAGAAGATTTCGAGCTAACTTTTAGTATTGTTAAGGATTCTCTCTACTCTGAAGGACGATTTCATAATTTGATAATTAAGCCTTTATCGGGAGTTTTGGCACCAATCAGTGAACAAATTTTAAGGTCTAATTAAATATCTGTTCTAATTAAATAATAATTAAAATTAAATGAACAAAAATTGCAAGAATGAGTAAAAATGTTTGTCTGACTAAAACTTATTTTTACTAATGATATCAAAATACCATGAAAGAAACATTTCGTCTGACTAAAAATTTACTTTTACTACTTAAACTATATACAAATTTGCAAACCTTTCGTCTAATTTAGTTTTTTTTACTCTACTAAATATATAATAAAATAATAAATTATAGATTTATTTTTTTTAGTGTTGAATATACTCCAAAAATTGAAGGTGACACACAATTTATTGTTCAGTGTGGTATTGAAAAACTGATGAATCCTATTAATATATTTGTGAGCACTAATGCATATTGCCTAAAAGCACAAGTTGTTTATAAAAATTTTAATAATCAAAACATTGAACTCTGCCAAAATCAAGAAAATATTATTGATTTAAAAAAAGTAATTTTATTTTTTATTTATCAATAGAAAAAGTATAGGTATAGTTTATGTTACATTAATAATTTATTTAAATGAAAAATTTTTAGCTTGAAATTAATAGGCCAAAAGTGATTGAATTTCAAATATCAAATGTTGGAAAAATTGCATTTTTCTATACATGGAATCTTAATTTGCAAGATTTTAATACAGATACATGCGCCATAAATGTATTCGAGAAGGAAGGTCATCTCGATAGTGAATCTAAAATTACGTGCCATTTAAGTTTAACAGCTTTGGAAAAAGTTAAATTTAAGGATCATCTCCTCACATTAGAGGTACTTTTATGACTTGCGATAATAATATTCTGAATATTAAAAAAGTCCTGATACACAAAAATTATCTCAAAAATTACAAATAAAAATAAGAACAAAAATAATAAATATTCATATTTTATAATTATTTATTTATTGTTTATTTAGTATTTATAATTTAATTCACTTTAATTTTTAATTCTTTAAGAAAAAAGAAATTTGTTTAAATGTAAAAATATTGTTTTTAATTAAAATATCTTTTCAATATAGATTAATAATGGACCCGTTTATTACCTATTATTGAAGGCAAAAGTCAGTAAATTATCGGTTAGCTTTAGCTTCAGCAAATTTGATTTTGGCCCAAGATACATTCAAGAAACAATATCAGCTCCATATTATATTGATTTACGAATAACAAATTTCGATGAAACCACTTCTATGTTCGTCACTCTTTATTGATTTTCAAATATTAATTAAAAAAATTTAGTTATTTTTTTAATTAATTTATACAATATATTACATGTTTTAAATATTTTTAAAATGATTTTTTTTCAATTAACAGAATAGAATGCACATTTAATGATTTGCCTCATTTAACAATTGATTCGAATAATATATCACAAGCTATTGATGGAAATTCTTCAGTTAATGTTCGAATATTTTTTCGACCACTTGCAACAATAAAATATTTAGAGATTTTGAAATTTTTTATTAATTCGACAAGTGAAAAAATTATTACTATCTTGGGAGAAGGAATTGCATACAAGGTATATATGCGACATATAAATATTTTTTTTTAATCAAATAAATAATTTTCTATTTTACCATAAATTATATAAAATTTATACGTTTTATAAAAACTCGGAAAAAAAGATAAGGCTTGTAAACCCTGCAGAAAAATGTATTGATTTGGGAAATATTCCGGTGGGAAAGTTGTCCATTCGAAATGTAAAAATTCTAAATGAAGGTCCAGTGCCAGTAAAAGTAAAATGTAATTTTCTAAAAATTCTCGAAACATCGAAAGAAAATGAAAGAAAAAAATCACATCTTGAAAATGAGATAACAATGGAAAATAACGAAAAAATAATAATGATTGATAATAATAGAAATGGTGAAAAAGTGGATGATACAATTTTTTTGAATTTATCCAAAGCACTTAATATTCATCCAATTGAATCAATAATTTTACAATCAAATGAAAAATTTAATTTAATTTTGAAATTTAAGCCACAAATGAGAATTAAACAATTTTTTGAAAAAATTGCATTAAAAATTGATTCGACAATTTTACCTTTGATAATTGTGAAAGGAAGTTGTGTGGCTGCTGAATTTTTGTTAAATAGAAATTACATATCTTTCGGTAGTACTGTTCAAGGATCTACTCTTAATTCAAAACTGATGCTGTTAAATACCGGAGATATTGGAGCTAGGTTCGTTTTTAAAAAGAAAATTTTTTAAAATTAAGTTAATTAAATTTTTTTAAATCTATTTATTTTATATTAAATTTTTTATTTTTTTTATTTAATTACAATTTCTAGATTCAAATGGAAGACTGTGAAATTAGAACCACACTTTCATATTAATCCACTTTCTGGTTATTGTTCTCCAGGAATGGACGTTTCCTTTGACGTCACTTTTCAACCATTACGTCAACAAGATTTCCTTCAGGGTGAAGTAAGTTTTGTGAATTCTAAGTTTTTGAAATTAATTAATTTTTCTTGCATAATAAAAGGAAACTCATAATATAAAATATAATATAAAATTATTTATTTCTGTCATAGAGAAATGAAAAATTTTTTTATATATATTATAGGCCACAATTGAAATTGAAAAATATCGTGAACTGACAGTTATTGTTTGTGGTGGTTGCAAAAAACTTTCTGATCCACTTGAAATTCTAAACTTTTCAATTCAAGTTCGCAAGAACCAAATCAAACAAGTTACGATTACAAATGATACCAACGAAACTTGGACACTAAAACCAGAAACAAATGGCGATTATTTTTCCATAGAAGAAGATATCTTAAAAATTGAACCAAAAATGACAGAAATCTGCTCCGTGAGATATTCTCCATTGGAGATGACAGTAGGCAATAATTTTCACAAGGTGAATAATAAGTGTTATATTTTTTTAAATTTTACTTGATTTATATCGAAAATAAAAAGAAAAATTACATAAAATTATATTTGTTTAATTAAATTATTTCTCTTTTTATTTTTTAAAGGGGACTTTGTTGATAAAATTGCCCGCAGGCAAACGACCCATTTTATATTCACTTGAAGGAACGAGTTTACCACCAGAAGCAATTGCCAAGATAATAAGACAATTTCCTGCTAAAACTAAGTATGCAGAATCTTTGCCAGTTTATAACTGGTTGAACAGGCAGCAGAGGTTTGACTGTATAATTGAATTAATTGCATCTAAAGCCTCTACTCATAAAGTAAGAACCAAGTTCACTTTGAATTTAATTCTGAATTTCGTGACAACTGAAACGTTATAATTAATATAAACACGAATGAGAGTAAAATATTTGAGGAATAACGAGAGAAAAATCACATTATGTAAAATAAATTAAATTAGAGATTATATTTATTATACATATTAGAAAATTAGAATATTATATTAATGAAAAAAAATTCTTTTAAATTATTTAAAAATTATCAATTTACATTAAATTAAATTAATTAAATTAAAATTAAAATAGATGGAGAATACAATATTCACTTTCAATGGTAACAGCAAATTAGACATTCCAGGAAATGGGAAAAGAGATTATCGCGCTTATTTCCATTGTTATAAGGAATCAAATTTTCATTTTAAGGTAAAACGAAAAAAAGCAATGAATAAACTAATAACAAATATAACAACAATTGGCTTATTGATTTTTAAACATTATTGTTTCTGGTCGTTTAACTTTATTAATTTAATAATAAAAATATTTTAACTTTAAAAAAAATTATTTAGGTGACATTTACGAATCCAGAAGGAGAATATCAATATTATGATCTTCAATATAAAGTCACGAAACCGGAAGTAACAGAAGTAATAAAAATGAAAACAACTGTACGCTTGCCGACATATCACTTTATCCAATTAAAAAACCCTTTGAACAATCATTCCATAAAATACACTGTAAAGTGTTCCCATCAAGATATCACAATTTATGATGACCCAAAAATAATTCCAGCTTTATCCAGTGTAAGATTAAAAATACGAGATTTATTATTTTTTTTGTCTGAAAATTGTATAATAAAGTTTTTCTAAGTTTTTTATAGATGTAATTTAATTATTATTTATTATATTATATTATTATTATTTACCTATATAATGTAAAATTTCTGTTTAATTTGGGTTATAAATCTATTTTACTTGAAATCAATAATTGTTTTAGGAACCAATTAAAATAGAATACAATCCTTTACTTCCTTCTGATGCTATTTCACGAGTGGAAATAAATTGTTTAGAATTAGGGGTTTCCTTTTATGAACTTCATCTCACTGCAAAACCTGCGCCACAGGAAGATGTGATTCGTGTAACAGCTAGCTTGGGAGGTTTTATGGCATTTCCTCTTATTTTTCACAATTTAAGCAAAGAAGATTCTGAATTTACAGTGAAGGTTTGTATATTTATTATTATTTAAATTTTCACTATATTAAAATTTTCCAAAATTTTCTAGTTGGAAAATTCTTCTTTTATTTGTGCTAAATCAATTATTGTTAAAAGTCAATCGCAAGGAATTTTAGATGTCATTTATGAACCGTGTGACATTGAAAATGTGACAGCAAATGCAATCATATCCTCAAAAATCGCAGGAGAATATATGTAAAGATAAAAACAGTTTTATTGTTTAAAAAACTATAATTTTCTTTTAGCTACGAATTTAACACAGAAAATCAAATTTTCATTAAACAGAATTCGATAAAATCTCGTTAAATAAATTTACAGATTTCCAATAATTGCCAAATATAATCGTCCAAAACCTCAAGGACCATTTACAATTTCCACTGATAAATCGTGTTTGATTCCATTCAAAAATATTTTTATGGAAACAAAAACATTTAAATATTTCATTAAATCCTCAACACGTTTTATGCTCACAGTTTCTTCTGAAACAATTGCATCCAAACAGGTAAATAGATATCAGTTCTACAATTAAATAAAAAATTTAAAAAATATACTTTATCTTTGTTTAATTGAGAAACTATTTTATGATGTAGAATAAATTTTTTTTTTCGTAGACTGTAAATATAATTGTCAATCTGAATGAAGAAGAAGAGCAACAAATTGATGTTCATGATCAGCCAACAACGGGAAAATTAATTGTCAAATGTAATGATCCAAGCGTCTCGAATATCAATTGGATATTTTATTTAAGTGCTGACGAGTAATAATAATTTTTTTCAGAGATAATAATATTTTATTACTTATTTTATCAAGTATAATAATATCAGTCTTAATTTTTAAAAATTAGCTAACGTAATTTGATGTGACAGCAAATAGTTCGCAGCCACAGCAAACTTTTTCTATGCGTGTGAATTATTTAATCCATTGAAATCGTTCCTACACAGTAAAAACAGTCTTAAACCTTTTACACCTTAAATTAAGCCCATGTATTAGCCTCAAAAATAGGCTGAATTCAAGATTTCTTTTGTATAACAATCCCTAACATCATCCGGATATCTTAGGATTCGGACGTCCTTAGGATATCTAAGGATATCCCTGGGACATTCTATGGATATCCTGTATTCTGGATATCCTTAAGACGTTCGTACGATATCCTAAATATCCGGATGCTGTTAGGTATGTATAAATTCTAAAGAATTTTAAATTCCACTTCTTAAAAACAATATTTCATACTTTCTCTCTATAAAAGAATGCAAAAAGTAAAAAAAAAATTTTGAAATGAATAAAAAAAACAACCAATATTTACTAGTTAGTACCAAGAATCACTAACAGATAGCGTTACTAGTTCCAAGTGCATAACCTACGTTGATTCTGCATTACCAACGAATATAACCAAAAGGATGTATTTATGCTCTCGGCGCATTCGGGAAGTGTACGTCGACACCGTGGAGAAGGGGGTCGGTGGGGAACAACGTAAAGAGGAAAATGGCCGTCGGGGCTATGGAAAAAGGGCAGGGACATGGAGTGTTACTAGTTTCAGTGTGAAATAACGCGTTTTTCGGGCAATATTTAATTCGATCGTGTGACCAATTGGTTGTGTATAGTGCATCGCATTAAAGTACGCGTGTTTCACAATTAAAAATTCGTACACAAAGTGCTAAAAAAAATAACACCAACCAGGAATATTCTGTCCTTATAATACCTGAAGTGTATATCAAGTGAGATAAGTGGTAACAAAAGGGTTGCTTAGCCGCAGAGGTAAATATTATTTTCTTTTTATATTTTATCCAATAATATTAGTTTTTTTTAACAATTATAATACGTGTATTGTTTTATTTCAATATTAACAAGATGCAAACAAACAATAATGTCAGATTGTCAAAAAAAAAAATATATATATAATTTACACGGTATGTAAATGGAAATAGGAAAATTTTTTTTGAAAAATAATTCGATACACGTTTTTTTAAAAAGTGTCTGAAAGAGATTTATCGATCTTTTGCTCTCTGGCTCCACCAGTCTTACGTCTGCCACTTGTGGCAGTATGTAAGGACAATATTCCTTTAACGATGACTTTTAAATCCTCTGTTATAATCTTTAGCAATATTTCTGCTTGTAAATGATTATTGAAACTTTGGATTTTTTTTCCCTAAATGACTAAAATTTTTGTTTACATTATTGCATAGAGATTAATATTAATTTTTGTGGAAAAATGCATGAAAGGATTCTTTTGAAATTGTACTTTTTTTTGCACACTCGAGAACGGAGCGAATTTTACGGCTTATGCATATAGCGCATGGAAATTATGTTTTGAAATATACGGATACAACATGTGCAGAATTGTATTGTGTGTATATATATATATATGAGAATTATGAATGTTTCACGCGTGCAGCAAAGCAAATTTTGTACAGAGTAGAGACTCCATTAATTAAACACTAGTGTGTGATGCTTCATGATAATGGAAAATCAAGTGTGACTGATATATATATTTACGAGGTAATGAAATCTATATTTTAGTTACAAAAGATTATATGGTTTTTTGATTATATAATATAATCAAAAATGTCATATACACGATTTTGTAGCGCATATAAATATTTTCTAAAATTCATTATTAGTTGAAATTTCCAGTGAATTTAATTTTTTATATGGTTCTCTCTAAATCTGAATAAGTGAAATTTCACTTAGAATGTTTCAAAAGTCTTCTACGTAGAAAAATAAGTGTATATGCACTTCAAAATAAGTGAAACTTCACTTATTTTTAAGTGCATAACTTATTTTTCTACGTGAAAGACTTTTGAAACATTCTCAGTAAAATTTCACTTATTCAGATTTAGAGAGTAAGAAATTTCGAAAAACATGTTCCCAAACTTTCACAGTAAAAAGAAAGTCTTACTTTAAGACAGAAAGATGTCTTATTTTAAGAGGCAACATTTTTACGACAGCCCTTGCTGAATCTAAGCAATGGATTTACATGCAATTTAAATTTAGATACATATTATGGCTAGAACTGCTGAATTTAAGACTCATCTTAAAATAAGATTTACTTTTTACTTTTGTTTGTAAGAAAATTTTCTTAAACTACATTGGAAGCCAATTTTTTTTCCTAAATCATTAATGTTAAAATTATTATATTGAGCTTGGTTATTTTTTACTTAAAGAAATTAATTTTTTTCATGACAAATTTCCTCTTTAAATCGACTAAATTTTTTAATTTGGAGAACATTCTTTCCTGCAGCGTATAACATATGTCACGGGACAGTTCTTTAAACATGACATGACAGAAAAGAGATGAATGAAACGGAAGAGAAAAAATATAAAATGAAAGGTACTTTGCTTCTTTTAATCAAAAAAACTTAAATCCAATAGAGTAAAATTTTAAACCCGATATAGAGAGTTACATTTTAATCCGATAGAGTGAATTTTTATAGTCCAATTGGTACTTTATAAATTTGAATTATTAAAAAAAAACTAATTTTTAGTAAAATGTTAGCCAACTTTTGCTTTAGAAATTAGTAAAAAAAAAACTAATTATTAGTAAAAAGTTAATACTTTTTAGTAAAAAAAACAACTGAAAAAATAGTAAAAATTTTTTTTTTTAACAAAACATCAGATAAATAAGGTATTCTTTAAGAGTTATAACCAAAAATTTAATTATATATGTATTCAATTATTTTTAATTATATACAATTGGAAGAAAATTGCAGAATTATGTATATGAATTCTCATTAGTTTTTGAATAAAACTTATTATAACTTTTGTTTCATTTAAATATATAAGTTCATAGCAGTAAACAGTGTCAGTGCCTAGGAGCAATGAAATCTAATTTGCTTAATTAAAACATGAAATACAATTTTAATTACCATCAAAAGTTCTATCATATATATTCCGCGAATGGTGTTGAATTCAATAATCAGAATAATGAATTTATTGCACACATTAAAATTTCATATGCGGCTTGCGTGTTGTTATTTAACGGATATAAAAGTGAGCTTTTAAATTTACATATATATTCTTTTTTTTAAACTTCTCTTTGACAATTTTTCTCCTCAATTTGGGAATTGGTATCAAAAACTATACCACAAAAAAATTTTCAATGTTCAAAATAACAAACAAAAATTTTGTTTCTAAAAAAATAATAGGTAAATAATTTTGAAAAATTATAAAAATAAATATGTTTTGTTGAATGTAAGATTTTTTTGCACATAACGAAATATACATATATGACATTATTGAAACTTATATTATACATCAGTAATTATAATCTATTTTAAAGATAATGTATTATCTGAATGAAGTAATTTTTTAAAAAAATGATTTTCCTTATCACTGAAGTTATGGCGTCATTTCTATACAAAAAAAATAAACTTGAATCGTGCCAATACACTTCGTTTCTTTGAATAAGATAAAAAATGAGAATTTATTTAAACTGAAACTTAATTTTTTCTCTGTATCTTAATTAATTCGTTTATTTTTGTAATTATTGTTTAGGTTACATCCTCGGTGACTGACGGTTATGTTATTATAAACAATATGGCGGTCAGATAGTCTTGAATTGAAATTCCCAAGACCGGTTATCTCAGGGCATTTTGCACTCTCGTTTCGAAGATGTGAAGAAAGAAATTGCGGAATGAAGCCGCAAAAAAAGGCTTTTATTGCTAAGAAGGCAACCAAACCATCAGTGGTTGTCAAAAAGCGTCGTGCAATTATTGAAAAATCAGCAATGGACGCAAAAAAAGAGAAGAAACCAAAAAAAATTGAAACTGATAAAAAGAAATTTGAAACAGATAAAAAATCATTGTCAGATGAAAGGAAGAAAAATGAAGAAAAACGTAAAGATAAACTCGACAAGTTAGATGAAAAGAAAAAACAAATTAAGGATCAAGAAAAAAAGACAGATAAGATAATCGAGAAGAAGACAGATGATAATAAAAATGATGACGAGTCACTGGAGAATTGTGATAAGAAAAAATGTCAAAAGTCAGAGGGAAAAATTGTCGTTGAAAAAACATTTTTTGAATTTAAAACAAAATCAAATAAATTCGATAAAATAAATAATGACAACAAAATGAAAATTGACGAACAAATGCAAGAAAAGAAAATTGATCAGGATGAAAAAATTAATTTAAATGATAATAAAATGACAATATTTTCATTAATGACAAAAAAGAAAAATGAAAAAAAGAAAGAGACAAAAGTACCAAAAATTGAGAATTCCAAAGGAATTAAGGAGAAGAAAATTGAGCGTAAAAAGACAACTGACGGTAATTTAATGACAAAATTAACAACAAATCGTAAAAAAGATCCAAAAGTTAAACAAACAAAGAAAAATAATCCCAAGAAGACAGTATTAGCAAAAAAGTCAAACCCATCAGTCGCTAAGAAATTTTTGGAAAAGAAAATGAAGCTAGTCAAATGTTTAGAAACAAATGAGTCGATAACCGAATTAAATGATGAGATAAAAAAGAAAAAGAAAGCAGTTTTATCGAAAAGTAAAATTATACCCGAGAAGAAAGCTTCAATTGAAAAACAAGTTAAAGTTAAATTACCTCCTAAGAAATTGATTCTCAAAAAGGAGAAAGAAGAAAAGGCGAAAAATCTTGAGAAAACAAAGAAGAAGCAAGAATTAGTCAAGGATTGTGAAAAGACATTGGAGGTGAAAAAATCTGAAGAACTTGTTCTTGCAAGTGAAATAAAAAAAGAAATAATTGACGATGTACGTGAGGAAAAAATTAAAGAAGAACCCAAAAAATTATCGCGAAACAATACAAAAGGAAAGTGTTCAACGAAAAAGAAGAAGATGACTAAATCATCAAAATCACAAAGTGATGACTCTTCAAATCAGGAAGATTCATCGAATGAAGAAACAAAAATTGAAATGACAAATTTAAAAGAACAAGCGGAAAATTTAGTGAATTTGAAAGTTGAATCAGTGAATGGTGAAAGCACAGAAAGTTCGAGTGCCTATGAGAGTAGTAGTGGTGATGAAAGTTGGCGAAACGGTAAAGCAAGGAGCGGCAATAAGCGTAAGGACAGAACCAGAACACCTTCCGATGAACGTGCAAGAAGAATGCGTCTTTTTGGTTTTTGGAGTGGACCAAAAAGACATCGTGTCGCATCACTAAATGCACTTGCCAAAGTTCATTGTTTATATGAAAATGAAGCAGGTGGAGTTTATCTTGGTGGTTTTTGTAAGCCAAAACCAGAGAAGGAGAAACAACAGAAAAAGGGCAAAGACGAGAAGGACAAGGATAAGGAGAAAGAGAAAGAAAAGGAGAAGGAGAAAGAGAAGGAAAAAGAGCAAGTCGTAAAGAAGGAGAAGGATAATAAAAAGAATAAAAATGACGATAGTGCTCCTGCAAAGAGGAAGCTGAGAAATGTTCCCGGTTTAAGGGGTAAGCATTGGGACATGTCTGAAGGTATGTCGTCTTCCTCATCGTCCGAGGAGGATTGTAAGAGTGTGAAAAGTGAAAAGGTCAAGAAGACCATTACCAAAAGAAGAAAGAAAAATGAAGAGGTGATGGACTTGAAGGATATGGTGGTTTGCAAAAGAATGGCGAGTCTTAATGCATCGGCAATGTTGGCAGCTTCCTATTCCGATGAGAAAATTCGTCTTGGCTCTGATAGTGATTCGTCAAGTGAATCCGAGGTGGAAATTATCAAACGAAAGAGACACTACGATGTCGATTTGGATAAGAAACGACAGGGCTCAGAAGCTGATGATGTCATTAAACCTTCCAAGAAAGTCGTTATTGTTAACCAAGACACAGATGTCACCATTACAGGTAATTATCATTTTTTCTTCTATTTCTATTTAGTAAATTTTTAGTAAATTTTCACAAAAATAATTCATTATTTTCAATACGAAAATAAACCAAATAAAATTTCTAAGCGTAAAAACTTAAAAAGAGAACAAACAAATTGACAACAATAAATAAAATATAAATGAACAAAAAACAGAGAGGAAAAAAAGATTATAAAGAAATAAAAACAAATATAGAAAAAAAGAAACAAAAATAGAGAAAGAAAACAAAATAAAGAAGAGAAATATAATTGAATATATTTTCCCTTTAAAATCTGATAAAATTCAAATAGAAAATAACATTAAAAAAATATTTATTTGTATAAGTGACAATTGGAATTTACATTGACGAGATTAATCAATTCATTAGGCAAACAAGTATTTGATGGAATTTATATATATTCATGTAGAAAGAGAGAAAAATTTTGCGGTACACATGCAATATAAAAGCTAACATGTTTTTCGTAGGTGTTTACGTGAATCAAACTCGATCCACTCATCACGAAGGCTTTTGCAGCATCGCTGGGATGCAATATCGAATAAGCTCAACGAGTCACACACAAACAGCAGCCACAGCAGTGGCAACGGAGCTTCATGACCAGGTAAATAATAATAATAATAAAATTATAATAGAAATTTCATTATAAAATTGTCATGACTTTGACATGTCCTTAAAGTGAGTTTCTGGATTAGAATTTGACAAAAAAAAGAATTATTTAAAAATTGTATTCTTTTGTCAATTCTAAACCAGAAAGTCCCTCTCAAAATTGGAAATTTATGTAGATATTTCAAATGTCAATTATTTTTTTTTTTTTTCAGCAAAAACCTGAACAGCCTTGCAAATCGTACACACCTCTTGGAGCGCTTTCATCTATGCAGCCTCCGGGGAGCCAAGGAAATCGTTCCAACATGTCTCCCAGAAGGCACTCTGCCTTTTCTGCTCCTCATCAACATGGTGAGTCCAAATTTTCTAATTTTATTTATTTTCTTTTTTTGAAAAATTACATTGAATTGCCGTTTTATTAGTATTAATTTCGAAAGAATGTTTATTTTGTTCCGTTTCGTTAAATCCTCTCAAATAGAGAGGAAGACCGCTTTTTGAAATTTTATAGTACAAGAAGAAAAGTTGCATTATGAGAGGAATCCTCTGAGAAAAAATTATCTTTTTTTCTGGGTGTAGACAAAATGAACTAAATAATAATTAATAAATATAAGCTTAAGAGAGTTTCAAAATTAAAAAAAGGTTGACTTTAACCTTTGATATTTATCAGAAACTCATGCACCCCCTTAAAATATTGATCGGAGATCAAATTACAGTCTGCATAAATCTACGATCGATAAAATACAATTAGTTATTACTTTATGATACAAATAATTATAGAGAGAACAATGAAAATATCCTTTGTTTAAACCCCTTTGATGATCGAAGGAGAGAAAAATGTTTCATATATATATAGGAGATAGTTTCTTATGAATTCTTGGTGAAGTTGGAGAATGCGCTACGATTCATATATAGGAGATTTGTATAGTTAAACTATGCGATGGTGTCATGATTATACAAAGATGCATACATGTTTAACTTTATATAAACGTGCAACTCAGCTTCTTATGTAAACGTTTCTATGTAGTTGTTCTCGTCTCGCCGCCACTGCCTCTTAACTACGCAGTAACTATATTCACTATATATGTATAAGTGTAAAATCGCAAGAAATGACGCGGCAATAGTACACCTGACATCAGTCTCTCTCATGCTATATGGCTGTTGTGTACACATAATATCACCAGCTATACATGCCATTTTACCGTGCAATAGAGAAACATTGATTTTCAATTTATTTTTCGAAATAAAAAAAAAATTACATTTTTCCCCTTCAATAATATACAAAAAAGGAACACCTCCATTTGGCAAATTATTTAAAAATTGCTGTAGAATTCCTCTTGCATTTTATTTGAAAGACAAAAGAAAACATTTTGTATACAAATAAAGATAACTTAGATTTTATTAAATAAAAGAAGAAGATAAAAATTAATAATTTCACTATAACCTTTTAGAGAAATGTAATTTTTTGCTAATTTGCATATCGAGTAGTTCCATTTCTTCTTATTTCTGAAAATCAAAAACAAAAAAGTATATATAGTTACGGTTAGCTTTCATAAGTATATACAAATATGTATTTTAATGATAAATGCACGTGGAAAAAAAACAGTAAAAGAAAGTGTCTAAGTAGGCATATATATAAAGAAAAAAAAATTTTACAGAAAGAAATTTTTGCCTGAGATAAAAGCAGCACTATATAAAGTCATATTTTTGTCTGCGAGATGCACATTGGATAAATTTACATGAGCAAAAATTATGAAAAGAAGAGACCAGGCAAAAAGCAGTTTATGTGCACTTAGACTGATAATAAAGCAAGAAAACCTTTACAATTTAATAGTGCATTGGTTGATAGTGGGAAAGAACTGCGGTTTGTTGGCTTTGAAATTGGTAAATATATATACGCGTCGATAGAATGAAATTATACAGGCTTTATAATATATAAGCAAGAACTTGGTAGCATTTTTTTCTTCAAAAAAAAAGTTATTATTTATTATATTATCTTTAAAAAGTTATTATATTATTATTAATATTGTTATTATAATTATTATTATCAATTATTATAATTTAAATAATTTATTTTCTATAAATAAAAATATAAAATAAATCGTAGCTTTGGGAAATAGAATTTCACCTGTAAATAATTCGAAGCAATTGCAAAACAAACAAACTGTTAATTCAAATTTACTTCCTCCCATTAGTAAATGCGCCATGAGCCGTGATTGCAATCCTTTTGTTAAAATATTCATGGTGTGATCCTAACGGGACCAAGTAGACTTTATATTCGTTGTGTATATGGTGTTGCTTCATTTGAAATGAGATATGCGCCAGTGATAAAATAATTTTCAGAAAAGATATAAAAGAAAAATACAAAACTTTCGGCGATGCTGCGAAATATAATATATATATATATATAAAATATTTCCTATGATATTAAAAAAATCCGTATACAAACGAATAAATACATTTATCATTTGATCATGCAAAATTATGAATGAAATAAAGAAGGGGAAACTTTATAAATATAAAATTCTAATACGAAGAGAATATATATATATATATATATATATATATATATATCATCTGAAACGTGAAACAGATTCATGAATTTTCCTCATTGCGGGTATGTTCTCGCGTGCGATACATCCGCAAGTTGATCCATATTTGCGGCCTAGATTTCCGTATACATTCTGCAAACCGAGCGAGATGGAACAGTAAGTACATGAGCCTTTAACAGTGCTCTGTATACAAGTTCATTGAATTTATATTTATTTTCTAGATTATTTCCATTTTCCATGTATATTCAATTCGCAACGACTAAATTGAATGCGTTTTTAAATCAATTTGATCTTTTTCCTCTATATATTAGTTTAAATATTGGGTTGTAAAAGATCTTCTTCAAAATAAGCAAATATTGATAAACTGTTTTTTGTCCTCCCACTCTCTTTCCCTTTCTTCTTTCTTTATATATTTATTTATTTACATTTACTTTTTAGAGAATAATTTAAATTTTTGTACCAGGAAAATTTAACATAATATTGACATTTTAATACATTTTTACTAGGTAGAATCTTTCTATCGATTGTTTATTTAGCCATTTACAATTTCGGAAAATTAGTTGTTATTTGTAAAATGTTTCTTATTCAACCGCTTCATTGATAAAATATCATATATATATATATAGAATCGACAGTCACCCGGTTTTATCGATCGTGTAAATGGGCACTCTGAAAATTCATGGAAAGCATTGTAAATCGTGCTATATTGTATATGGAATGTGTAATAAACTGTATAAGCACTTAACGCATAAAGGCGAAACTATTGCGAATTTCAACTATGATTCTATTTATCTGAATTCTGTATTGATATAAGCTGAAAAAAAATAAACTAAAATTGAAAATATATATTTTCGGCATAGTATTTCCCAACGATTATCTCAAAAAATTTTAAAAATCCAAAAATTTATTTTGACCTAGCTCAGCATCCGCTGGACCAATCAAAAAGTGCGCCATACATTTTTTTTCGACACTCCCGGGTTAAGACTTTGGTGCTATTCCGGAGCGATTATCTCAAAAATTTCAAAAAATCACAAAATTTATTTTCATCTAGCGCAGCATCCGTTGGTCCAATCAAAAAGTGCGCCATACATTTTTTGAAGACAACTTCCGGGTTAATTTAAATTTTCGAATAATTTTTCCAAAAATCTAATATTTATATACGCAAAAGTAAATGGATTTTCTTTATTCAACACTTTTTTCAGTGTATTCAATTTAAAATTTGTTTTACTCTCTAAATTTGAATCAGCGGAATCTCGCTGATTCTCAGCTATAAGTATACCACTGATTCCAATCAGCTTATATGCACTGATGAATTAGTGGAATTTCACTGATTTTTCAGCGTATATCCGCTGATTGGTACCAGTGGTATACTTATCGCTGATTCAAATTTAGAGAGTAAGGCTAAAAATTAGGTTACTTTAATTAAAATATGGGTTACTCTTAACAAATTTTTTTTATAATGAAATATTTGAATATTTATTCTGGAAACTAAATTTATTTGATTCAAATACTCGATTTCTTGACTATTATCAAATAAAGATTTTCTTGAACCAAATAGTTTTTATTCGAATTAAATAAATTGCATTTGAACCAATTATTTCTGTATTTGAAACAAATATTATTTAATTGACTCCAATAAAAATTCTTTGTTTCGAATAAATATTTATTTAATAATAGTCAAGTATATATTTGAATGAAATAATTTTTTTTCAGTGTACTTGTATCGAAAGTGGTTTGTCTATAATATATGTATATAAAATCAGTTAAAAATTGCTCAATTAAAATGGAAAAATAATTTTCTATTTTTAATAATCGAGATAATGTAGATAGAATCGTTTATGTTGCGTTTTAAAATTGTATAGAGAATCACGACCTTCGTGAAGCGTGAACGGTTTTACGACAGAGGACAAGCCAATATTCGTTCTTTGAGAGCTGAACATACAGTAATGGCGGTCGTGCGCACTTTGAGATCGCGTCTACAGTTGAGAATCACTGTCTCCCGGTATTGCGTCCAATAACGGCGCCATACACTGTTCTCTTTACCTTTAAATATGGCTCTCAACTTCTTTATATTCTTCGCATGTACAAAAAAAATTATCCGAAAAATCAAAAATAAATTCTTAACACCTCTTTTTCTTAAGTATTTTAATGAAATTTATTCGTAAATTTGGTATCTATACTCTCAAAATAAGAATATATTGCTGGAAATATATTTCAAATACTATAAGTATATAGTTATACTCTCTAGAAATTAATAAAAATTATAAATATATTAATTTGAATTAGTAACTCACTTTTTGCATTGGAATTAGTTAAATTTTACTAATTCAAAAATAAAAAGTGAGTTACTAATTCAAATTAGTTAAAATTTCTACTAATTTAAATTCATAAAAATTAGTAACTTTTTACTTATAATTAGTACATTTTTTTACAAATTTCTGAAACAAAAAGGCTACCAAAAATTAGTTGCTTCTGTACTAATTCAGATTTAACAAGTATATAAATTGTTTTATTATTTTGAAATAAAAATAAATTTTTTTGATCCTTTTTGCGTGACTTTTCCCCGATAAAATGCAGAAGCCATATATATGTATATGTGTATGCACCGCGAACGATGACGTAATTCCAGAAATTTCCGTTTTGGAACTTATAAACAACGATACACGACAGTGATGATGATTCATCGTCGACAAAAGTATGATAAAATATATTCCTTAATCTATTTCTTAATTCCTTTAAGATTTTAAAACTTAAATAAAACCGCATACTAATAAAAGTCACAAATTTAGTTATTTATTTAAA